AAACTATGAAACTATCACTGGACCAAATAATACAGAATATAACATCTGAGACTTGTTCACCTGCACCTCTACCGATGTCATACGCACCAACACCTGCTTAGTGTCCCTCTGCTGTCTAAATTGGGCTGATGAGCTGATCCTTATGGTGAATGAACACCAATCTGACATCAGTTCCAGAATGACACACAAGCCTATTGCAGAACAGTTTAAACTCCTTGGATACTCCATCACTGAGCTCTAAGCTGTTCTTAGACAACACAAATCTAAAAATGAACTTGAATGTGAAATTGTGGAACAAAAAAAATCATCCCCAGACTGGATTGTGTTAAATTTGGTCTAAACAGGGACTTCAGAGTCTTATCCCATTACCTGAATTAGCTTTTCTGACCCCTTTGTCTCTATGGGTTTATGTCTCATTTGCTTCTCTCAGAATTGCACCCCCCTCCACCTTGTGAATTCTAATCACCCTCTCTATATACTGCTCCATGCCTGTTCTTTCACAGCATCTGATGAAGTGAGCATGGGTTTGCAAACACTTATGCTATACAGCCATCTCTAATTTAGTTAGTCTACAAGTTGCAAATCTACCTTGCCTTCTGCTTGAATACAAAAGACAGGGAAGAGAGAGAGGTGGGAGGGGGACAATGCTGGGAGAGGCAAACAAGTGATAAACTGGGACAAAAGTATCTGTAGTCTTGGTTTAGATCAGGGGTGGCCAACCTATGGCACAGGACAGGTCAGGGAAGTAGGAGGAAGCATAGTGGCAGGGAGCAGAAAGATTATCAGGAAATCAGTCTGGGAGCACAGGGCAGGGAGTAAAAAGCAGAGCCGTATTTCTACGCAGTAGCATCCCAACACAGCTTTCTGGTGATGCTGACTGCTCAGTTGCTTGCTACTACTGCACAATAGCTCATTACTACTGTGCAGTAGTGTCACATCACAGTTTGTGCTATGCAACACTACTGCGCAGTAGTAGTGAGCTACTGAGCAGTAAGCATCTTCTGTAGCCACGGCCTATGAGAGGAAATCCTCTCATACTGTCCTCCTGGCTCTTCATGTGACATGCCATAGTGTTCAACATCAACCCTGGCTCAGTCAGTGCTCCCATCCCAACCTTTGCTCTGAGGGGATGGTGTGGCTCATTTTAATTTATGTTGTTAGGAACATGGCATCCTGCCTTCCTGACAGGCCCTAATGTCTGTAAATGGTCCTCCTGGATCTGCTGCTCTGTGGACATTCTTGCTAGTCCTTGACTGCTGCTGAATCATCTGCCTTGGCCTTATTTGTTCTGTTTGGCCAAGCATTGGCATACCATTGAGGTATGACCCTGGTAAGTGGCTTTGAACTGTGAATGTATAGCAGGGAAATGCATTGAATTTGTGAACTAAGTTCGTAGAGGGGTAGAGGGCAGGCTCTAAAACCCCAAACGGTGTCAAGGACATACATGTCCTCCAGGACTTGCCTTGACTTCTTCCCAAAGAGCCTTTCAGGGGTAGTTACTAAGGCATGCGGCCACTGCATCATGTCCCTTCCTGCCTGAGGCCTGCCCCTCACTCCTCTGGCCTGTCCTAAGCATGGGCCATATAGAGTTGGTTTCTCTACTTTGGCCTATATGGGGTTGCCAAGGAATACAAATGTGGCATTGCCCTGCCCTGTCCCTTCTTAGCCCCCTAACAACCCCTGCATTAGATGCTCTTTGGGAGGAACTGGCAGACTCAAATTTGTAGGTAGTTGCATGGAGCTCTTCACTGGGAAACAGTCAGGGCCATGGGGCAATGGTATAGCACTCCCATTACAATCAGGCTGATGCTTCCAACCTGCAGCAGCTGGGCCCTCCAACTACTGCTGCTTCCTGCTTTCCACTGAGTGAAGGTCTCCCTTCTCCAACTGCCATATAGGAAAAGGAGAGTCTTGCTTCTATGGAGCAGAGCTACCCGTGATGGAAGCAGATGAAACTTCGCTGAGGTCATCATGGCTTACACCACGGCATGGAGTCAAAGTACCTCTAGAGTCAGAAGAGCAATCATGGGATTCCCAATTTGCAGAGCTCTAGATCTTGGCCTGATTGGATGATTCCCCATCAGTTCTGCTCCATTCACAGACCAAGTGACAGGCTTCCTCACAGCTGTCGCTCTCCCAGGATTGGCCTGCATCCTGAGCACCTTCATTCCCCACAGACACTTGGTGATATTATCTTCACTGACCTCTTGCCAACAAGTGTTACTGCCCCAGCAGGTGTCAGACCCCACCCAGCAGGAAACCTACCTGCTCCCGCTTATTCATGGGCAGGTTGGAAGGCCCCAAGGTCTGGATGGAGCCGATGATTTTCTTCAGTTGTGGGTCTGTGAAATTTCTGAAGATGGGGCCATAGAGTTCCTTGGCTTTCTTGCCCCAGGCCTCGGTGAAATTCTGCTCCTCCAGCGAGGCCATGATCTGGAAGACAGGAAGAAATACTCCTTTATGAGGCAGATATTCAGGTTTTTTGTGGGAATCTGTGGCCATCTAGCATTTAAGGCCTGTGCTTCCCTCTGTCCAGACCTCAGCTGAACAAGAAGCAGCCCTGACCTAAAACAAATTGAAAGACCTATACATTTCCAGCCACTGCATCCATGCTACTGCACACCCTCTGGATCCACCCTTGCCTGGGCCTTAGCTGAGTTGGTGTTGCCCAAATAAATTTTAAGCACTTTGGGGCAGGGACTGTCTCACAAGGAGCCAGCACTGCCCAGACCCATAGGCAATACTGCCCTTGTATTGCCCGTAGGCTCTAGAGGCTATTCTAGGCTCTAGAGCCTGTTTTATTGCATTGCCCTTAGGCAATACAATAGAACATAACAAGGGACTGCTCTGATCATCACTAGTCATTGCCATGGGGCAAACTGCCTATCTTTGGCAAAAGCTAACAGTTCATGCTTTAGACAAAGGCAGATTTTCTTCCAAAACAGCACCTGTGGCCCACTTTGCAATGCTGTAAGGCAGGGCTATCCAATTTATAAGGCCCTGAGGGCCACAACAGCAGGGCTACACAGTGCACAGGCCACATCAGGCAAGCTATGGGCCATTGGGCTATGTGGACACTGCCCACTGGCCTGTGTACTCATGCAGACACCCCCTGCCACTGCTGTACCAGGTGCTTCTGCCCTGCTGCATGGCACCCCCTCCCTCCACTGCTGTACCATGTGGGCTCACAGGTGTGTTTCCCCTCTCCCACAGCAGCATGTGCCCTCATGGACACCCCACTACTGCTGCACTGGGATCTCCCCCCCAGCTTGGACCTGACCTCCTCCCCCCACAACCTTACACGTGCCCTGGACTCACCCTCAGCTCCCTGCACCCAGAGACTCCAGCTACTGTAGCGGCAGAAGCAAAGGGGAATGTGATGGCCAGGTGAGAGCCTGGAGGCCCCAACTTAATGCTTTGTGGGCTGCACGCAGCCCCTGGGCCACCAGTTGGACAGCCCTGCTGTATAGCATGATGGTGCCCTGGGACTTAGCTGGGATGGGATGGGAAACCACCTGTGCAGTGACTAGAATCAGGCAGGGGAGAGTGGGGGAGGCTCCCGTTTGGAGCCACCTTTATTTAGCAAAACCCAAGGAGGATCTCCACAGTATCGTCTTCTTTTCCTCCCTACTCCAGTCCAGGGCTTGGACTTTCTCTTGAAACTTGTGCTAACAGGAAAAAGGTACCACATGCAGCCAGGCTGCCACTGCCTGTTCCATATACTGACATTTCCACAGTGCCAGGAGAAGGCAAAGCGGGTCTGAGTCACTACCATTTTGGTTATGTGTCATGCTCTGCCCTTGGCACTCAATGGGCCTGATGTTTTCTCACATCAAGGCCCTGTTCTGGCAGCATAAGGGAACACAGAGGGGAGTGTAATATGGCGTAATCCCCTTGCAGACACTACCAGTGTGGGGTAAAAGGACCTGAGTGTAAGGGAGCTGCAGGCCTAGTTTACACTGGTATGTGATCCACAAGCTTTAGGGCTACAGAGAATCTGACCTCAAAATTACAAATGAGAGAAAGAAAATGACAAGGAGAAAGGGAAAAAACCCAGTGAATGGCAAAAGAGAGCGACTTCTGATGAAAGGGAAGGATCAACAAACGAGACATGGGAATGCTTGTTTTACCCTCATACTGAGAAGCTACTGATCAGGTTCTGGGATCCTTCCTGACTTTGGACTAAACTCTCCAGGAACAGGTGATCCCTTGATCTATTGGCTCCCACAGAGAAAGAGAGAGTGTGGGAAGGTTTTCACTTAGCAGTTACAACCATGGCCAAGCCATTTCCTATAATATAAGCAAGAAAAGCAGTAGGATAAATATGGTAAGCTGAAAGGACTTGATTTGGAAAAGCAGTGAGACTCATGCTTAAGTCCATTCCTGTTCAGGGCAGCACCAAAGTAGATGCTAAGCACAAGCATGAGACCAATGTGAACAGGGATGCTTGGCTCAAATCTGGTGCAAGTTAACAACTGTAGAGTGCTGGACACAAGCTTCCAAAGAGGACATGGAGACCTTGGGTGCTTTCTTTCACATCTCACGTTCCTAATGTGCATCTCAGAGAGCCCTATAGAGGCCAGATGTGCTGGGTCTGCATGGGGATTTTGCCAAGAAAAGGTAGCAAAGGAGGCACCTGACAGACCACATTTAGACCCCATCAGGCAGTGGCAGAGGCATACAATGGCCTCTACAGGGGGATCTAGTGTCCGTGGGGTTGTGCCACAAGGCACCAATCCTGCAGCTCACTGCACCTGGGCTCCCTGCACAGCCCAGCACATTTCCTTGGAAGTTGGGGGGCTCTCTGTAAGAAGAGGTCTTGCCCACATGGAACGAACAGTAGTGTCTGGGTCCTGCTTTGCAAGCAGCTGAGATAAGCCAGCTCTGGATTCCCAACATGCCCATGTTTGGGGTGCCTGAATGCAAGACCATGGTGTGGCCTGTTACATAGAAAATGGGGAACCATGAGCCAGATTCAGATTCCCAGCACCTGGTAAGGACGATCTAACGCAGGGTTCCAACAGCTTGTGGGAAGACAACTGCCTAGCCAGTGAGAGCAGTGGTCAGCTGCAGAAATGTTGCCCATTTGCTATTGATCTCAGTAATTAGCAGTATTCCTGTGTGTTGGAATAACCTTCCTTCTTGCCATAGGCTCTGGCCACTGACTCCACTGTGTAGGAGCTGCAACCCACCCCTGCTAGGGACTGACACCACACTTGGACTCAGTTGAGATGCTGGGTCTCACCCTCACCTGTCAGCTCTGCAGATGCAAACCCTGCCAACTTGGAAGTGCCACAAGCCGCTAATTACTGTGCTTGATGTGAAGGCTGGATGGGAAGAGGCAGATAATCAGAGGCAATGTACAGGCTGCACAGATCCTCGACATTTATAAGAGGAGACATCGGTTTCCAGCCAAAGCAGAAATCTCTCCTTGCCTGGAGCTTCTCCAGGGAGCAAACAAGCACTTGGAGGGGTGTCATTCAAGGTCTTGCTTCTGAACTGAATGGAAGCAGCAGGTGGCTTATAAGTGCTTTGCAGGGGAAGGCTGCAGCTCTGCTGACATTTGCAACAGCCAACATTAAATAAATTGCACAGCTGGGAAGGGAGAAGTCTGTTGGTCAAACTTCACAGCAAGGCTTCATTTAGATTAGGTTATGAATGATTAATACATCATTAGGAGATGTTTGCATCCGTGTTTATAGAGGCCCCAAAGTCAGTCATTTGCAAATAACCATGGTTAACAATTGTCCCTTGCATTTTCTAGTGAGTGCCTAAAAGAACAATGAAAATAAGCAGCTTTTGTCTGCAACATGCTTCAAACAGCTGTTCATCATGTATTAACCCTTTGTAAGCTCTTTACAACTGGAATCTTAGGAGTGGAACTGACCTCTCATCTCTCTGGGTTCCTGCTCCCTTTCAGGGCAGGATTTTCCAGAAGCAATGACTCAGGCTGACTCAGCCATGGTGGAAATGGAGACAGCAATGCCAATTTCTTTGGAAAGTCCTGCATTGGTGACCTGTGATTTTTATCACGAACTGGCAATATTTGGTGGTTTGCATAAAGTACCACTTCCCAGATTTGTGAGTTCACCTTTCAACTTCCAGTTTGAATTTAAAAAAGGGAGTTTCTGACCCTTGTGTTTGCAGAGTAAAGCTTGCCGCTGGACTTGTGTGTGGCCTAACAGCTAAAAGCACATGATAAGACATAAATAAGAGCCCCAAATATAGGCATTTACTTTTTATGTCTCATGAGTTTCAAGCCAATCTTATTATGTTCTGGAGCATGGCTTTTGGGAGCTTGGGGTTGGCAAGACTGAGACTTTTATTTTAGGTTAAGGAAAACAACAACCATGGAAAGAAAAGTTTTTAGTGTAGAGAAAGCACAGTGTGTGCATCTCACTCAGAAACAGGTGGAAGGAAATAACTCAATAGGTAGGAAGAACACTGGGAAATGTAAAGGCATAGTGCCCTAGTTACATACAGTGTAGACACTACATTATCTTTCTGTCAAGTTTTTTGCCCAAAGTATTTCTAATGTTCTCATCCCTGATGTATCTGGGCATCAGGTACATTCCACAAAGATAGGGCACTTAAGACAAGTATTGTATGCAGCTGCTTGTTAAGTTTGCCAGGTGTCTGTCATCTGTACTGGAAAAGCAAGCTCTAGGCAGTAACCATCCTTCTGTACTTGGGAGGCAGCAGCGTCCAGTGAGTATAAAATGGGCCTGGGAGACCTAGGGTTTGTACTTGGGTCTGGCACTGATTTTTTGGGTAACTTTGGGCAAGTCACTTCCTCATCTGTGTCTTTGTTGCCCTGGCTTCTTTTGTCTTCTCTATCTAGACCAGGGGTTGTCAACTGAGGGTACGTGTACCCCTGGGAGTACTTGAGAAGGCCCTAGTGGGTATGTGCAGGTGGGGACAGAGTGCTGCCATGCATTATCCTGTGCTGCTGCACAGGTGCTGCCTGCCTGAAAGGACACAGTCGGGGTGGGGGAAGCTCGCGCATGGCAGCTGCTGCGGCCTCACATTCAGCTGTGCACCATCCCTGCCCCCACCAGCCAGCTCCACATCCGGCCTCCGGGGGTACACTGCTCCGTGTCCTGCTGCCAGGGGTACACTGATACAAAAAGGTTGAAAACCCCTGATCTAAACATAACTCTTTGGGACAAGGTCTGTCTGCTAATGTGTGTGCCCTGTGCCTGGGACAAGGGGACCTGATCTAGCTGGGTCATTTAGCATAATACAAATAGTGACAGCACAGCACCCAACCACTCTGGGTTTAGATCCATTCAAATCATGTCATGCTCTTGACTAGCACAATGCCTGTGAAAGGTGCTGACCTAGCAGCCACAGGGAGTGATGGCTTTGCCTGATCCCCTAAGGAGGTGTAGTATAGACAGTAATTAGGGAGCTCACCTCAGCAGCAAGAGGTG